GACTATCGCGAAGTATGCCGTGCCCTAAAGTCTTGGGTACCCATTTGGGAAACCATCTTTCCCATCTGTCCGACATCTGGAGGAATATCAAAACGTGTTTAAGGCACTCCATATGTAGGAGTGCAGCTTGAACTTACTATTTGACTGACTGGTCTGTCCACTGTCAACTGTTTCGTGGGTTCAAGTTATTTTTCAGAGACAGATTCTCAGGCGCCTATTAATTTGGCTTTGGTGGCCGAGCAGTAAAACAGCCTTTAACACTAACAAGGAAAACAAATATTGACCTTATGATTTTACTAGTTTTTTTAATGACGAAGTTATGGTACCATTCATTTACTGGAAGCACGCGCATTAAAAAAAATTCAAACTTGTATTCATCAACATTTATCGCAAACTGTAAACGTCTAGCAGCAAATCAGCAGCGTTCGTATAAACACTGAACCTATTGATAATACGGTGACCAATGAGACCCCGAGGTTTGTTGTCAATAACCTGGTGAAAAAGCGCCATCTAATGACCTTGATCAGAGTGTAGGCATTTGGGGATGAAATGCTAACAATCGGTAGCAGTGCAAATAGTTTACACAGTAAGAAAGTATTCAAGAATCACTGAAAAGTTGACCACGTGCTCAGACTCACTTTGTCGTCCTCCACCACACAACCGATCTGCAGTTTTTTGATGCCATAAGCGAGCGGTACCAAGCGAGAACTACCCCATAACAAGCCATCAGCTTGGATGGAGCGCACAAGTTGCTCCATTTCGACCATATCGGTTTCATCAGACCATGGTTTCACATCTAGTACAATAGAGGACTTTGCCACAGGTTTGTCTTTGGCTGGCTGCGCCGCCTTCGCAGCTGCCATGCGTTCCTCTCGAGCTCGAGCGAGTTCTTCTTCGTCCACGTCCGAGCCGAATAGGTCATCATCGTCGTCATCATCATCATTTTTGGCGGGGGGTGGTTTAGCAGGGGCGGCAGGTGCTGCTGCGGCTGAAATATACGTGCAGGGGTTAAGCCTCCACTACAGCAGAGAACATCAAGCGCGAGTCAACTGATCAAAAGTTTTCCTACATTATCAGCTTCGTGCAGAGAAAACTGACCGCCATCAAGCAGTGTGAGGTGAATAGTAGGATGCTTTGAGGGAGAACAGTAAGAGGCACCACGACCAGGACAATACACCATCCACCTACATAACCACTGCTTGAGAATGTTGGCGAAAGGAAAATACGCTGTCGGTTTCCTGCTATGAAGCTGGATGTCTCTGACCGACCAATTACTATTTTGGATCCGAACGGGTGGAAGAGATACCATAGTCCTACTGCATTTCTTTACATCGTTTTCACGTCATCCTGAAGCAGTAACTAGAAACTGGGCTCAACGTGGACTGTGACATGCGCAATGCAGGTCTGGATCAACAAAGACTTGCTACCTCAATTCATCATGAAAACAGTTTTACCGATACAACTATAAATACATGACAAACTATCCCTACTTGATAGCCTGTTCAAACTATCCACCACTCGTAGTAGAACAAAAGATTTTCTCCGCTATGGAGTTCACTAATTCGGCTGACCATTAGACTGATGTGGTCAAAAAACTAGATTGCCGAGAACATCCAGTTGACGGATATTTGAAACCCAGTTGGTCTTGATGTATAAGTGGTCATTGTGGCGATCAATGGCGTAGCAACTTCAAGCGTTATGCAGACATTCAAGTCCAGAGAGAACAGCTGCAAGCAGCATGAGGCCGGTGCACGAATGTACAGAGACAATGGTTTTGCAAACCGTAAAACCGATAATACACGAGGAGAAAAGAGTACGGTAACCGGGTTTTCTGGATTCACCTAGATGACGTCCCAATACGATACAT